TTTTTTTTCTTGTTTTCAAGTTGATTTTGATAGCTACAGAGCTGCTAGCTTAGCTTACATGTAATTAGAGTAGTAATATAATTTGTCAATTTGCAAATCTCTAAGAGCAATGTTTAGCAATTGAAGTGGCTACTTTAGAAGAAATTTAGATTCTCACAGTGAGACTAGTGATGAGGACAGGAAAGAACATTAGGTACAGTACTCTTAGATTTCAATAAGGCATTGGGTTTTCTCTTTCCCCAAAAGATGAAAGTGTGGTAGAAAGGCCCACAATTCCCAATTATCACATAATACAACCAAAGATGAAATGAATGGTAAACCAACATCCCTAAAGAATTCATCTTACAATTAACATTAGTATTTATTATTTAAAATTCTATGAGAAGAGTCAAAAAAAGTCCTTTCAATTAAGAGCACTAAGTGCATATCCTCCCAAAAAAAGCGGAAGAAAGGAAGCTCCCCACACCCCTTCCTGACACCCACTCACTTTCTACCGTGTACATTTGGAATTGAAGATCAATCCAGTTCTCACTGGCATTTAAACAACACTTGAGCAACTGCAGCAAGTGGGCTCCTGTTGATACCATCTGGCCAGTTCTTTCTCCAAAAATTCTAGGATGTTTTTGTTTTAATGGGCTACATAGTCCCGAAGTCAAAGAGTGCAGACTGGTCTCATTTCCATAGTCAGCACTCCTAAACCACACGACACATTCACGGCATAAAATCAGTTCTGGAAACAACTATTACTTGTTAAATTCCAAGTATTTTTCTGAGGCGGGGAAACGAGTCAAAGTTCACAATGACTTTCCAGGGCCTCAAAGGTTTGCATAGTGAGTGTGGACCCACAATTCCTATGGAAACTGAGGTTGGAGGGAAGTACTGAGTGAGGCAGAGATTACTTCTGGTGAATAGCAATCCCCAGGTAAGTATTTCCATGTTCAAAAAGAAAGCAACAAGAATTCTCAGAACTATCTGGGTAGAGCAAGAAGCTCTTGACAACAGCTTTGAAGTAATTCTATAGAAGCAATTGATCTGTCCCCTCCTTTCAACAGTACCACAAGCCCTAGTCAAAAGGTACATGAGGAGGAGATTATTCCCCTGCAAACTGGACAATTCATCCATGTACATCTTCAGAGGCACAGACTTCAGAGGCAGAATTCATATCTATTCCTTGAGCCAAGCTGTCATATTTTTTTCCACCAGGCCCCTATTCTAGTAAAATGTGTAATATTTATATGCTCTGCATATACCATATGCTAGGTCATAGCTGTCCTCCACAGATACTGATTTTAAATTGGCTAGGGAATAGGAGTATGTTTCTGATAGTCATCCTATGATGAAGAGGTTAGGTATAAAAAGATAAAAACAAGTGCAGAGGAATATGTAATTTTGGATTTAAAAAAATGCAGCCAACTCAGTTTAGGAAGGAAGGTGGAGGTTAAAGTTATTTCATTATGTTGACCAAAGGGTAAACAGTAAAAAAGAAATAAGATGCTAAGTAGGCAGGATTCAAAACTATGATCATAATAAACTCATCAATTACACATCATTTTCTCTCTTTAGGAAAATCTATGGAAGAGTAAGAGAGATTTTTTTTTCTTCCCGGAAATCCTTCTCTCTTCTTTAGTTTGTAGGGCTAAATGGAGTATAAACTATAGAAAAGAAAAAAAAATTCAATTAAAACACCTATAGTGAGAGCCTCAAAAAGATGAGGAGTTAAAAGAGCCTTCTCTATGAAGTTGTGCTTTGAAAGATGTTAAAAAGCTGGATAACTAGTTATGAGCTATAATCGTCTCCATTTACGTTTCTATTTGATCTCCATTTAAATGAGAAAATGGAGGTTTAGAGAGTATATAAATTGCTCAAAGTCACAAAGATACTAAAGCAGTGGATCTCAGTCCCATTCCAAAGCCCATCCCCCTTCTACTTCTACTTGATGCTACTGTGTGCAGCATCAAGAAGCTGAGGAGTCAATTATTTTTTCGGCATGTCCAGGTGTAACCATTTCAGTCACACATCTTAGGTGAGGTGTGGTTTCTAGATGGTCTTGCCTTTCAAGTGGTCACTCAGACCCAAGTGTATGAAGTAAATGAAATCAACAACCAACATTTGATCTTACAAAGCTCTCTCATCTTTTTGCTGCACACAAAAGATGACATAAGTAGTTTCACAGAAGATCCAAGATGGTGAAGTAAATAAATGCTGGGATTGCCTTATCCTGGGAACACACCAAAATTACAACTAAATTATAGAACAATCAACCTGGAGAACCATCTGAGGTCTAGCTGAAGAGAAGATTTATAACTAAGGATATAAAAAAACCATATTGAGACCGGTAGGAGGGGTGGAGACACAAAACAGGCTGGTCCCATACCCATGTGTGGGAGTTGAAAATTGGGAGCAATATTTCAACCACAGAGGTTGCCCATGCAGGAGTGAGGAACCCCAGCTCCCCACATCAGGCTCCCCAGCCCAGAGTACTGGTGCTGAAAAGAGAAGCCTGCACAACTTCTGGCTATGCAAAACAGTGGGGATTCTGACTGTCCAAGTGGGACAGAAGGCTGCAGGAAACCCAGGCATCTTCCTAAAGAGTCCACGCAGGCACTTAACTGGGCTCCAGTGGAGGGACAGTAACTCCGGGGGCATCAGAGAGATATGGGGAGAGGCTGAGTTGTGTAACTTCAGGGCGAGGACTGGAGGGAGAGTCCCCATTTTCCCTGTGTGGGGTTCTCTTCCCACGCAGCCAGCAGGCAGGCGCCATCTTCCCTGTGTTGAGCTTGCCCCCACAGGCCAAATCTGACTCTGATTGGCCTGGTTAGTTCTGCTGCTCCACTCTGCTGACTCACTGAGATCCTGCCTCACCCAACTTGTGAACTGCAGGAGGCTTTATCAGCTCCTGAACCTTACAGAAGCCGGCAGGTGGCAGCAGGCCTCAGAATGTCCTTGCTTTTTGCAGAGCTACCCCAGAGTGGAGTATGTCAGACAGAAAAAGACAGGTGCAATGTGATTTTGCTTATGTGTAGAACCTAAAGAACAAAATAAACAAACAAACAAAACAGAAACAAACTCATAGACACAGAGAACATTTTGATGGTTGCCAGATAAGAGGAGGGTTGGGGGCAAGTGAAAAACAGGAAGGGATTCAAAAGTACAAATTAGCCATGGGGATGTAGGGTATAACATAAGGAATATAGTGAATAATATTGTAATAACTATGTATGGTATCAGATGGGTACTAGATTTATTG